GCTTCCTATAAACCTTTTACTTTTTTTTCTTATGATAATAATATACAAGAGGTGATAGCAATTAACAATCTATTAAAATTAAATCGTCTTATAATTCACAGCGTCTATTGTTTACATACGAGTATAACAGTTCATGAGATACAGCTTGTTGACAGATGGATGGATAGCGGAGGTTTATTAATAGGGTTCCGGTCTTCCGGTGTGTCACGCTTTGTGCACGGAATCCTAGAAAGGCTATACATACACAAGTGATGATTTTTTAATTATACAATCGAATCAATATTGAGCTGATATCTGGTTTCAGCAATACATATTTCTTTTTTATTTTATTGATATTGAGACTAAATGCCTTGAATAAATATGTAGGTTGTAGATAAGTAATTTAACTGCTTGATAGAGTAATTCAGAAATAGCTAAACTTCATTTATTGGTTCTGATTTTTGTTCAAATTATCAGGATTTTTATTTTATTTTTATCATATTTCTGAAATCAGAAATCTTATTTATGGACAAAAATAACAATGTTTTGGTTTGATGTGTGGTATAAATTGTTATATTTTGTTTTGAATTAGCGAGTAACCTATGGTTAATGAACACAATCGGTATAGTTGAAAGATAAAGTCACATTGAGAATAAATTAAATAGCAAACAATGATTGTTAAAAAACGTAATATTAAAATAATCACTTTTTTCAATAGACAAGTGCTATTTTGTTTATATGTTTATCATTTTTTTTTTGTAATATTGACATTGAGTTTGTTTTTCTTGCATTGCGATTATACAATGGGGACTGGGGCTATCATTGTAATAGTCCAAGTATCTACCTTAGTCGATATGAGGCAGCTAGGGAAGGAATCGATTTTCGTCACCCTCCGAGCGCTAGCGGGGGCGAGGCACCCAAGCCCGAGCAAGATGGCGGCGTGTCCTGGACCTGCCTCACGCGCACTCGCCACCCAAGGTCACGTCACTCGCGCCGCATGTGGCTCTGCGCCTCCAAAAATACAGATTCTCGATAAATGGAAACATCACCGCCCGTCCCATTCGTCGCTACCGTGCCCCGTATGCTGCGTCCCTTTCCGGCGTCCTGCCCGTGAAATGTTGAATTATGCTACTCAATTGTGATCTTAACCGAATAGTTAGGGTTGTCAGAGGAATGTACATGTCATTATGTGTTTGTTTTTTAATATTGTAATTAGACTAATCATATTAAAGTTCTTTATGACACAATGTGATACAATGAGAAGGAATTCGCCAAAATAAAATTAATAAAAGAATGAAACTTGGATTTATTAATATTGTGTCTTGCATATACATATATGCACTATTTGAACCAGTTCCAGGAGTAATGGATATTGGTTAATATAACAGCATACTATCTAGTCCCGTTTCTAAAACAAGTAAGGCTTTGTTTAAAATTTATATAAATATGTTTAAGAAGACGATGGAATGATAGATCTATATGGGTGACATAGTCTTTAGAAGACAAAACCTTTTAAAATAAAGAATAAAAATAAATTTATACATATGCAAGCAAAACTATTAATATAAAATTTATCATTAATAAATCTAATATATAAAATTCTCGTGTCGCGGTGTTTGTGGTTAAATTCCTCCGAAACGGCTTTACCGAATCTCATGAAATTTTGTGTGCATATTGGGTTTGAGAATCGGACAACATCTATTTTTCATCCCCCTAAATGTTAAGTCTAATCCACCCCTAATTTTTTTTTTCAATTTTAGATATATTTTTTTTATTTATGATACATCATACAAAAATACATACATCCCTAAATTTTCAACTTTCTACCACCAACCCCTATTTTTTTATGGCGGTACGAAGTTCGCTGCGTCAGCTAGTAACAATATAAATTTTCAAAAATTATAATCAATGTCATAAATCCCTAGGTGCAAACTTCCCTGCATAAATGAAAAAGTGTACCAACCCTAATCATAGCGAACCTTATCTACTTTATGGAAAATTTTGGAATGCGACAGAGAAACTCGATTTCTCTTTCACACTACCAATGTTGTTTATACCCGTCCCGCTCTAGAATCTCTACCTAACATTATGAGGGGTAGTGGTGGAGAGCGTCACAAAAGATTTTGGGTTAGATGTTTTTTTCGCAAACTGCATTGCAATGAAAAAGTTCACTGGTTATTCAGTCCAAGTGCAACCACCATCCGGGGTGGACGTGCACCAACACATATTTGTTTGTTTATTTTGATTTTGTTTTCAAATAACAAGTTGACGAACTAAAGTTTTGTGCGTGCTAGCATCTCTGTTTTTACGAAGCTCTTGGGTATGTTGTCGTTTATTATATTTGTGTTTATGGTAATATCGTTTGCTATAAGTATGTTCATAGTATCACGTTTGTGTATAAAAATATTGATTATTTTCGTATATTATGATATTTAATTTCCAAAAGCCCAATCAGTAGATGGCTTTTTTTTTATTATGTTCTTTTTGCGTCAATTAGTAGTATGTATAAGTTTTAATCAAATTCATTAAATATAAATTTATGAGGGTTGAAAACCGAAAAAGTTAAGACTAATATACAGACAGACAAGACCGTTTTACCATCCTGTTTTTTATTGATAACTTTACCCCAGGAAATGCTGCTAGTTGAGGTTGTGTCAAAAGATCAGACAGTTCCGGAAAATATCGATCGAGCGTTCTTTTGTTGTAGGTGTATAGGTATTTTCTTAAAAAACTTTACCTTTTAAAACAATGTCAGATAATTTTTAGTTTGTTGTTTATCTATCTAAATTCTAAACATATAATAAAATGGTAGGAAAGTCAAAACTGTACGTTGAATATTTTTTTAAAAGAATACTTGTGTTGTGATATTTTTGTCCGGGATAAACTCAAAAAGTACTACATGGATTTACTTCAAATTTGGCACGAATATTATTAAGAAGGCAGGTCAACATATAGGCTACATATTATCACGCTATCACCTACGGGGAACGAGCAGTGAACCTTTATTTCTAACTAACTGCACGCGTACGAAGTCGCGGGCGGCCGCTAGTTATAATTAATTAAAATACAAAAACCCATTTTATAAACATAAACATTTCCACTTTATAGATATATTTTTTATTTAAAGTCTGTATTCTTTATTACTTCTCTTTTACAAAAAGTTCGCTTATATATTTCTAACTAGCTGTGCCCCGCGGTGTTACCCGCGGTTTATTAGGGAAATTTTCCCGCAGTAAAACGTAGCCTATATGTTAATCCAAGGTGCAGCTAACTCCATACCAAATATTTATTATAATCGCTCCATCCGTTTAGACGTGAAGAAGTAACAAACATACACACTCACAAACTTTCACCTTTATAATATTAGTGTGATTACATAATAAGTTTTATTGCCAGGTATTTGTGTCTTACGATATTTCTAAAATCTCTCTTACAGGAAGATAAATAATAAAAAATATAAAACACAAATTATTATTTTCTCACCTTTAAATATAAAACAAGTTAAACCGTCGTCAGTCGTAGTATAGTCGTGTTAGTTAAAACTCAATAACGGCTGGTCCTATTATTATCAGAAATGATTTTTTTGAATCCGGCTCTGCCCCGAATAGCAGAATAGCTATTAAATTATCGAAAAGTCAAGGTAAAAAGTTTTGCAGAAAACCAATTTTCAATAAATAAATTAGCTTTAGTATACCGCCATCTTCCACAATTGACGGCTCGCGTCACGCATACACAAAGCATAATATGTGTACTGCAAATCAGTTACTAATTATGATAATTTAAAATAGAAATGAAAAGGTAATATGTGGAATAATAGCGTAATGAATAGATATATTATGATCATTATAGAAAGTGATTTTGTAATTAAAAGGAAATTCTCTATTCATAAACACACGTTGCAATTCTTGCCGATATTTTGGTAAAGAAACTATGGATGTAACTTCGACACTGTACATAAGTATCAATATTAAAGTTTTCATTTCAACATGAATTAAATTTTTACTCTTTTAGGTTTTAATTTTCAAAACTATGTAAGTCTTTAAGGTTGGCTTTATTAAGGGAATAATGTACAAATACCTGGCAAATGGAAATCAATTAACCCCGTTTTAAGTGTCGCTGATACGCAATTGAAGTTATTGAAATTTCATTTTCTCTATATTTATTATCCTGAAAAACTATTGATCTTTATTTTGTATTTGTTTGATTTCGGTTTAAAAATAATTTTATTAAGCTTCAATATTTAATTACAGGAAAACATGCTTTAACTGGTGTTATGATAATGAATCATAACGCTAGTCATAAAAATACATTATGTTGCTTCGATTTATTACATAAAATGGCTAAAATTATCAAATAAAAAAGACTATAATAATTGCCCTGCACTTTACCTCTTATCGTAGAATCACTAATAATATAAACGCCCTTTCGTTTGATATATGAGTGATGAAGGTTTCAAATATATATTTTTTTTAATTACTTTTAATTACTTAAGAGACTAGATGATTTATTGACCCGCCTTATCTCCGAAACTACCGCGTCAAAATTTTTGAAAAATATGGAATTTTAGATCTTTGCTTGTAGATTACAGATAAACCCATAAGAAGTTTATATTATTTAATTAATATGAAATAAATATTTAAGCCGTAATTATTTTTTTCGTTTTTTGCTCGTTATTATAAAATAGTGTCAAATGTTGTTTAGATAATTCTGCCCCGGAACCGGAACCCTTCGTGCGTAATTCTAACTCGCACTTGGCCGGTTTTTGTTTTATCTTTTAATACTTAAAATGTTTTGTTTTAAAGATTTTTATAATATATTTGTAAAAGTATTCTTCTAATTAAAATTAGTTAGTTTAAAGCCTACATAGGTTCAAATGATTCAAATAGTTTGCAAGTGTTGTTTACAAAACAGAATTATTGAACCTGCTACGCCTCCGAAAAAGGTCATGGCGTACGCGACCTGTGTTTTCCGACAGCTAGGATGTACATTAATATTAATAAAAAAAAATCATTTCTTTACAGCTCTAATGACGTGACGTGTTCACGGCAGAATGACATCATTCGCTAATCTCACGCAGTCGCTGGCGTCGAGCCTGCCGTCAACAACGGCGGCAGCCACCAGTGCCGCTTCTAGCAACAGCTCCAATGAACCCGAGGAGTCGCTCACCATGACACACTTCATCTGTAACCTCCTCGATACGATGAAGAATCCACCTGCGACGGCAACCTCCTCAGTGCCTTACGACATTTGGGCACTGCCGTCCAGCAGTGGAATGCACAACCCCATGGGTGCCATTGGCCGTGAGTACGCTAGCGCTAGCACCAGTAGTAGTAACCAACACACGCAACCTAAAGAAGACAACTCTAGTGGTTCTCCCGGCACATCCTCTTCGGTGTCCATCACCTGTTTCCGCTGCGAAGAACGCTCTCCGACGACACGTTGCCTCGAATGCAACGACCTTTTCTGCCACGATTGCTGCCACAAAGTCACATCTGATTGCCAGTTGCGTGAACATACGTTGCTTCCGATACATCAAATATCACCGATAGGCGCCAGGCCAAATTCCGTAAACAATGACAAAGAAGTTATGTATTGTGAACTGCACGGCGATCCGGTAAGATTTTACTGTGAAGCGTGTATAATTTTTATCTGCCAAGAATGTACTTTGTGGGTTCATAAAGATCACAAATTTACGCCTATAAAAGGTGCTCTCGATATGTGCCGCATAGGTGTGTTCAGAGCTATAGAAGATACCAAAACTGGCACAAAAGCAATAAAAACGGCAATCGATCGGGCAGTCGCCATGTCTAAAGCTTACGAAAAAGAATCTGCCGAAGCCAATATGAAAATTCGAAAAGCTATGCGCTGTTACGCTCAGGCGATTGAAGACCGAGAGAAATATCTCTTGGATAAAGTTGAGAAAATGCGGCAAGCAAAAATGAACGAGCTTTCTGATCATATGAACACACTTCGAGGTATACTTGCTGGATTAGCTCATACGAATGAAACTTTGGTGCGAAGCATGGATTCCGAAGGCATCGACCTATTTATGGCTAAAGAGAAAGGCAGATCACAGGTAGATTACTTTTCATGTATGTTTAAAAATATGTATGTTACTGAAGAGAGAATCGTGTTTATTCCGCCTAATTATGATTTGGTAGACCAGCTGAAACGTCAATGTGATGTTCAACCGATTCCCGCCAGCTCTGCTCTAGCACTTAACTCTGCATCATTGCACTCTCGTCAGTCTTTAATGTCTATGCAGTCTTTGCAGGCAGCTCAGTCATACCCACCTTTGAGTTACAGTCTTCCAAGTACCAGTAGCATGAGGTCACTGCCTGACTATTCGTTGAGCACCAGGTCATCAAATTATTACGACCACACTTCTTCATTGACAATAGAATCTGCTTCCACTGCACGTGGTATTGGTCAATCCATTCCCGGTTACTGGATGTCAGTATCTGTGAAACCGACTAGAAGCTCGGTCCCCGGAGTACCTATGTTTTCTTTTGGTAGGGAGGGACAGGACGAAGGTCAAGTGTCTAGACCATGGGGCTTATGTATAGATAGAGAAGGCAATATAATAGTCGCTGATAGACGCAATAACCGCATTCAAATTTTCAACAGTCGTGGTGAATTTAAAACTATGTTCGGTTCCAAAGGTACTGGCCCAGGAGAATTTGATCTTCCGGCTGGCATTACCACTGATACATATGGAAGAATTATTGTCATCGACAAGGACAATCACAGAGTTCAAATATTTACATCATCTGGGAACTTCATCCTTAAGTTCGGTTCCTTTGGGAAAGAATGTGGCCAGTTCCAGTACCCGTGGGATGTGGCTGTTAATACCTTGGGAAATATAGTAGTCACGGACACACGTAATCACCGCATCCAATTGTTTACAAGTGACGGAACATACATCACCAAATTTGTTTTTGAGGGAGCTAACCCAGCGAAGATGTTGAAGGGGCCGACTACACCAAGAGGCGTATGCTTTACTACTTCTGGCAATATAATAGTATCTGATTTCGAGAATCATCGCTTGTTGATGGTGGATCCGTCTCTTTCGAAAGTTCTCCATTGTGTTGGGCGCGAAGGTTCGGGTATCGGGGAACTGAATCGCCCATCGGGCATTGTGACCGATGACGACGGTCGTATTATTGTGGCAGATTCGAAGAATCACCGTGTACTCGTGTTTACTTCGGAACTCCGTATATTGTCTGCCGTGGATCTGAAGAGTCCAGGCCTCGACGATAAAGACAGACCGAGCGACGTAGCTTTGACTCCAGAAGGCTATTTGGTGGTATTGTTTGAAACACTACCAGACACAGCTCGCGACATCTCTTCCCACGGCAAACAATATATCAAAGTATATTGAGTAACTAATTATAAGGTAAACTAACCAAGTGAACCGAAGGTTCGCGTTACTTTATTTTGTTTTTATTAAGTTGTGATTTCTTTGATAATGTGCCAATTTTATTATATACGTTCGGGATGATGTACCGAATCGAGCATAGCTTGGCTGGAGAGCGTGCATTTGCTCGTAAAGCAATATGCAAATCTCCATAAACGTTTGATGACTTTGCGTTACCATAATAATTCGCTTTTTGTTTCTGTATTCAACTAGTCTTTAAGGGCCAAACTTTATTTCCAGTTTTAATTTGCAACATAATTTACAATAGCGCCTTTAATTCAGAGAGCTGCACATACACTGCGCACTGTATAAACGAGCTCGAATAACATACTTATACACCAAATCGTAAATATCTTTTTCATAGTATAATATAATGTCGATTACATCTTATCCGGTCCGATCATCTTACGATTTATATCGATACGTAGCAGAAATATAAATCGTAAAAATATACTATTATAAAAATCACTATGTGATGTAAAAGATGTTTTTATGTGAGATAAATTAAATGACTTGAAAAGTATTTTTCCAAAATGTTACATTTTGCGTTTTTAACTTGGTTAATAATGATCGACGCAGACGTTGATGTATAAATTATTTTGCATATTGATTTAGGTGCATATATTATATATCTTATATTTATTATTAGAGCGTTGTTAGGATACTCGACAATGTTAATCGGCTAGATTAGTTTTCGTTTCGATTTTTAATCTCAACATGAGCAGCATTCTGTGCGCGATTGTAGTTGAAAGGATTGAGAATAGGTGTAGCTGAAGGATGAAATCAATGCAATAAAACTTTAAGACTGACTTTAGAAGACTGTCTTAAAGACGTTGATTGCGCTGGCAACAGGCGCGGCTCTAATTGCCGCTGTGTTGTGTTTTATCGCGCCTTTTTATTACCAAAATTTACTAAGTATTATAATTATATCGACGATCTACGCATTTCTAATGTCTGTGGACTATCGAATAACATTTTTACATTTGTTTTGAAAAAAGAGACGTGATATTTTTGTTTCGGTAATCAGAATATTTTTTTAGAAAAATTATGATAGCTAAATTTATTTTGACTGACCGGCTGATAAAAAAAATGAAAAGCATTTTTATCGTAGTTAAATCGACTAATTAATTAGTGTTTAATTAGTTAATGCGGAGTTGCATGTGATGAATGAGAGAGTTAATTTTATTTTGTGATTATTGCTTACTTATGTAATAATAAATCACTTACTGGTATAGTTAGTATGCCATGTGTATGAAAAGTATACTAGTATTGAACAAACATACGTTATTTTGCAGACTTATAATAGTTAATTTGGATATATTATTATTATCTATATAAATAATTATTAATGAATTTAATTAATCAATATTATCGCGTGTTTGTTTACAATCGGATGAAAAGAAGTGTATTAGTTCAAATATTGTAGTGAAATTCTTTTCTTGAAAAGTCTATTAATTGATAGTATAGTATATTATGAAATGTATGGACGGTTGTATGTCCTTTATGTATGCGATACCCACTATGTGTTCAATCCGTATGTGTTCAATTAATATACTATTTTTAAATGTAAGTTTAGTTGCATGCCTGATGAATATAAATTTGGAAGTCTTGTATTCGTTCGTGGCATTGTAGCTAAGTAGTTTGTAGTGAGTGCTGCACTATATCTTTGAGCTCATGATTTAACTGCATTACATCTAGTTAGCGTTAAAGAATAGTCATGCTCTGGAAACTATTCGTAGCCTAATAAGAAAGACAGTGATGGAAATTCAATTTTAACATTCAGAGCTTCTATGAGTAAGTTTTAAAATCAAATTTTAGTAGTCCTCTTGCAGCAGTAAGATTGCTTACTCGATATCTGTAGGTATTCTTATATATCGTTGCTTGTTAGAATTCAATATACAATACGTAACGATAATATCGCAATACAATTCATAGGCTTAATACAGAGTGTTGCATTAAACGATATCTTTGTAAGGTTGTAAATTACAAGCATGATAGTTTAAGTTCACCCGAGAGACTATCAGAGGCGACCAGCGCTCGCTCTGCCACAATGTTTTTTAAAAATATATGTAAAGAAATGCACAAAGTTCAAAATGTTACACTTCACGTGCCGTTTGAAATGTTCTCCCAAATATATTAAATAATTATTATATTAATAATAATCCGTAAATAACATTCATTAACATTTTTCAGCTTTGTACTTAGGATTATTACTGTAGATTAGGTCAGGTTAAAATCTTCAAAACTAGTTTAATCCTTAGCGTAGTTGTACACTTCGAACAAAAATTTTCTTATGCGTGACGTAATTGTAGCTAATAGTAATGATGGAACTGATTATGAATTAATATCGACTGGATTATGAGTCTGATAATGAAGTAAGGTGAAAATTGTTGTTTGAAGTTGTGTTTTGTAAATTAAGCATATACGATACGGTTGAATGCTGAAATCGCTCCTTGAGAGAGTGTGTCGGAGTCCGTACGTTATTTGTAAGTCGACAGTGTTATGACCACGAGAGGAGTTTTCTGGCATTTCCGTGGTACTACAGCGCATGTTGTCACATGTGCAGAAATAATTATAGGTCTAATAGCACACTAGTCACCACGTCATAATAATAACGGAACTTGAACCTAATTATTTCTTAGCCAAAAGAGACTAAGAGAGTAACCACGTTTAAACAAGTTCATAGTCCAATAACTGTCGCTACGTCATTCTTTAACGTAAAAAGAACACGATGCGTAGTTGTAATTGCAAAATGCGTACACTGATAAACCTTACTTTCTTTAGTATAAGAACTTTCTGCGGGTTAAAGAAAGACTAAGCGACGAGTTCTAATATAAAGCGCTTGAATGTGGTTACTCCTAAATTCAGCTGAAATCAGCTGGTTGAGAAACCTCAATGAAAATAAGAGATACAAGGCCTCTAAAACATTTGTAGTAGTGCTTAATTTTATGAGTGGTAATATCTCTATGTGTATTTATTGATTGAGCGTTCGATGTCGGTAATACGGATTCGTGCGTCTCTTTTATTGTCAACAACAGCACTGCTGCATAATATTATGTTTTGTTGGCAACTAACGCACGTTCCCCTTTATGCCGATGTTCTATTCATCCGATTGATTTTGAGAAGCCAATTATTACCAAGCCAGTAATGTTTCAAGACACGACAGTGACACAATGCAACAATCCACGAATCCCTACTACTGTCATCCAACGATAATACTTAAATTCCGGTTAATAAATTATAAGCAATATTTTGGTTTCCAGTAACTATAAAAGATAAATTTTAAAAACTGTTTACTTTTTGTTCAGTGCCATTATAAAGTATTACGTTATTTTAAAAATAATGTGTTGCATGTGATGCATTTTTATTATTAATATTTTGGAATGTTTTTTTTATCGAAATTTCACAAACAGTTGTATTTTTTATTGCTAACAACGAATCTCTTAATTTTTTTTTTGTATAAGTTCAGAGACTTAGAATTTGTTATTTGAAGACATATTTAATTGGATTTGCAAAGCAATCCGTTCATCATTGTGATTAATCGATTGGAACATGCTAAGAATGTTACCGGTCTGGCATTTTATATTAAAAAGTGATCCAAAATGTCTCAAAATTCCCCGTAAAGTTAATGTTATTCTACCCTCAATATCCTCTATGTAACCATTTATGTCGTCGTAAGTGTGTTTATAAACTTAAAGTATGTTAACAAGATTTGTCACATCACAGCGAACATGTAAACAATGTCATACACAGTTATTTGCCGATGAAAAAAAACAAGGAATGCAGGCGGGGGGTTCAAAGGCAGTTTGTAAGGAAAAGAGCTAAAAGCTGCTGAAACATTACTTAATTTTAAAATCGTATTTTTATATAATTTGGTTTGGTTGGTTGATTCTTTATAAAATTTTGTTTGTTGTATTCTATGAATTTGTAAAAATATCGACAATTCTAGATTTACCGATAACCGCATGGCTTCTACGTACACCAACTGGATTACACACCCACGGACAGGGCTTTACTACGAATCTAATAGAATAGACGAGAAAATGTGTTATTTAGACATTATAGCTAAGCATAGTCTGGTAACATCGCATTGAAATGTCCAATTTATGCATACATTTTACTTGTATTCTTTTAGTTTGGTAGAAATCAATTTGTCCAAGGGGGTTGGTGTCTAGAATTATCGAGTTAAATTAGTACTTGTGTAAATCTATATGAACTCTGTGAGGCCTGCTAGTTGCTAGCAGTAAAATTGAGGTTTTGTGATAGGTACAATAAAATTGGGAACCCAATAACTTAATAATATTCTGAAAGTAAAGATAGTTTTTTTACTAGGTTTTTGATGTAATCAGTGATGATGTCTTGTCGTGTAAGCTATCTCAGCAGCTTAGATGCACTCGAGAGTTTGGTACAAATTGGATAGTTTAGGTGTGAGACGCGAAACCGCATAATAATGATGCAATTATGAGATTTTAGAGAACGTATTGAGCCATGTTCGTGCTATTTTTGTAACGTTATCTAGGCGCTTGTGTTGTGTTTAGTCTTAGTGTAAATTTGTATTGATTCATCTCCTCTTCTTTCTTACTCTTATCGTAGAAGGTTTGCCCTCTGTTCCGATCACAAGCACTCTTACCACCTTGCCAAAGAGGAGATGAATACAATTATTTGATATCATATGTAACTGATAGTTATAGTATTTTTGTACACGGTCCTTGGGGGAGAGCGGTGCGGTGCCGCTGGCGTTGATGCCTGCCCGGCCGCACTCTCCCGGGGCGATGTTTGTGTTCATGTTAGCATAACCGCATCTACCTCACTCGTAATGCATTGAAGACTGATTGGAATTAATGTAACGGTGGTCAGATCACCGATTTAGAAGTCTGTTGTCTACTAACAATTATAATTTCGTCTTTAGTATAGAGATCAGATTTAAGCGTCCACTTGTTTGACTGTTATACCTTTCCCATGCAATTATATATTATATTTGGCATCGATTGGCTAATCCTGTAATAATTGTACTGTACGCGAGTGGACAACGGTCTTTTTCCTTTAATTGTCTTACGTTAATCTTCTGTAATATTGTTGAAAGAAGACTGAAATTTTATAAAATGTTCCTATATTTTAATTTAGAATAATTTACTGCCTACCATAATATTTCATTTACATGATTTATTTTACCCTTTCGGTAAATCAATTCTTTGATTCTCTTATAATCTTATCAATTGTATGACGCTATATAATGTCATAAAATTTTTGAAATTTTTAATGGAATTTTGTATGAGAAATTAATCAAGTGATTGATAGAAAATGGTTTTTTATTTCGCCCCTCTCCATCATTTCCCTGGCTAACACCATCAAACGAAGTAACATTTGCAGAATATATTTAGTTATTCATACACGTACAGGACCATTTCTCGGACCTGCAGGGCTAAAATGGCGACATGGTAATTCATATGGGGCAATTCATTTTCTGAAGAACAGACAGAATTGGGGTTCACCGCCACATAAATGAAGGGGAATGGGTATTGTTTGATATGCGTGCTATGGTAATTTTGCACTTATCGAATGAATTGTTGTATTTTGGCCCGTTTAGTCCCTAGATCCTATGCACCATTTCCTTGAGCACCTACTAAGCTCTCCTGCTAGCCTGAGCAGAAGGAAATATTATTCTCAATATTAGTCCTGGTGCTCACAGCTCAATGACACCGACAAAAGAAAAATGATAATGACTGACTTCATTCATTTCGTTTTGCTTCGCATCGATATACTATATTCGACGGCCACCGTGGCCGATTGGTGTACGCCAGCTTTCAAGGTGTCGCCTACTTGAGAGGCCCCGGGTTCGAATCCCGGTGTTGGCAGATGTTTGTGTGATGAATACGAGCATTTGTACTCCAATCATGTATGTTGAATATGTATTTCTATATAAACATAATTATATTTATATGTATCAGTATATGTATTCTATCCGTTACCCTAGTATCCCATAACACAGGCCTACAGTGCTTGCTTTGGGGCTAGGCTAATTGGTGTGTGTGCTGGAAATATTATTATTTAATTATACTGATAGGCTTCCTGACAATATGATAAAATGCTTAGAAAGCTATAGTTTAATTAAGCAGCCAACTATATTCTCTGCTAGCAATATTGCGATCTTAGCGATGCCAAAAGAATTGGACAATAATCACTATCGCATCACAGGCGAAGTTACTTCCCCCCTGTCCCCTGAAAATTTGTAGAATCTATAGTACATTTTTCAGCCACCAGCCGCGCTGCCGTCGATAAGTAGTATCTGTGAAGTTAGCTGTTTATGAGTACAAGTAGATGAAGTTAGTTGTATAATGTAGAAATTTGGAATAAGCGCACAACAACCAGCTTTTATTAACACAACTTAGCGATCGCAGCGCCTCACTTATTTTGTCCATTTTTGTGGGACAGTATTTTCTACAGCGATCATTCTCCTTCTCTCTAACCTCCACGTGTCAAGTTACACATTATGGCATAATATGTCAAGACATGACAAAATATCTCGATAGTCTAGAGTTGACTTGATGATTTCTGAGATTAATAATAATTAATTTAATCACAAAAGAAATCTATCAAAAGATAAGCCCTCACCGGACAAACTTAGACAAGTCATTTTGGGCACACACCGGACATTGGCTAAATTCCGGAAGAGCCATCACAGAAGAAATCAATCAAACAAATCTATCTAAATCTGAATATTATGGGGCACCAACTCAGCACTGTGTTCACTGGTTTGGGAAGATTCTTCGAGTATCCTGTGAAAAGGAAACCCATATGTTTCTACCGCCAGGAGGATTTTACTGCGACAGGTTTGTACATATGTCGTCAGTAGTAGGTAGTAGTCAAAGTTACAGTACTGACGGCCGAGGTCGTTTCCCGAATTCTATTAGCACTCTTACTAGCGCCATCAGAGACATCAATTAAATTTAGTACAAATCAAAATCACGTGTTGTTGGTTGGTTGTTGGCGATAAAGGTACCTTGAAGAATGATGCTAATTTTACTTGTAGGGGGTGCAATAGGTATTTAAATTTTCTTTTTTAAAATGGTGGCAAACAATAGTATATGGCTTCTGATCCCTTCACAGTCGCCGTTACTTACCCGGCTATATCCTACCCCGTGGAGCCCTGGAATTATACTCAGCGACCGAAAGAACACCACCAATAGGTACTGTTATTTCACTGCTTTCATCTTTAAGCTGTGGAAGGTCCCAGGCCCCAGTAGACGGCGCGTATCTGCTATGCCGTACGTGCCATCTCTCATATGGAAGTCGATTAATCTTCGCAGATTCATCAACATAATCTTTATTAATAGTAAATTGATATTCTCTAAGTGAGGCCGCTAGTGGATATTTAATCTGCCGATTTATTGTTAGGTAGATAATTATATCTACCTTATGGTGTTATTGTTTTTGCTGATGAGTTAGGGCTCCTTGGGGTAGATGAGGATGGCTGGGGCGGTACATCTTCTGCTGTATCATCTATCTTTGCGAATACACAGAACACAAACAATCAGGGCCGTCTTTGACCTATTGGAGGCCCTGAGCATATTAGGATAATGGGGACCCTTTTTCTTCCGTTTGGTGATTTAACAGGAACTAAGGACTTTGTATTTGATCTGAGGGGGCCCCCTATTGATTGCGGGGCCCTGGGCACTTGCCCAAAGTGTCCACTGGGAAATACGGGTCTGCAAACAATATATTATCTGATAAGCAAGGCGCTATAATGCTATTGCAGCTTAGGTGGACGGTTTGCTCATTAACATTACATAAGAAAAGAATCTTCTTTAGCGTTCCGTCCAGCGGCGTCGCGTGGGTGTCGGCCGCCCAGGGCGAAGGACTAAGGACAAAAGGGCAGATTAAAAAGCGGATATATTGAGTACCAGGTGCACACGTAGGCTCCGCTTGTAACGGCATTTCATTACTCGTCGTCCTCAATGTGCGAGCTGAGCTAACTCAACATATTTTTAAATACAATAACGCTTGCTTTGATAAATTATCAAACAACACGACCTCAAATACCTAGGCTCAAATAGGCTATTTTTTTAATAACTAGAAAAAATTATTCCTCTTTCTCCTGTTATAAAGACAGATAGAAATTAAATCGTTAAACGTAACTGATAAATTTTATCGAAGTAGGACATAGCGGATTTCCCGCTGAAATTGAAGCGCCCATCTGGGAAAGTAACCAACTTATAGAAGACGCAACCAGGGCCCGGATTTAAGACAGGACAGGCGGGGCTGTGGCCCAGGGGCTTCACAAGGCTATGGGCCCATACAAGGAGAGGGCCCCCCACTCGGGGGATTTCACTTGCATTTAACAAGAGTTGAGGTAGATAATTTTTTCACCGATTTGTTTCAAAATTCCACGATTTTGGCACGAACAAAACTAACGCAAATATCTGTTATAAAGATTCGAATATCTGACCATATTACTTTTTAAGATTTGACCACCGCTGATTCGTTCGTCATAATGTCTTTCAAAAAACTTCAGGAACATAGAGCAAAACAGAAGCTGGGAGTCAGCCAGAAAAAAGCAGTTTTCCGCTCTGTCAAAGTATAATATGCTTAATTTGGCATTATGCATGCGCATCACAAATATACTTATAACAACAAATATAAAGAGGTGTGCCGTGTGATAAACGGTATTTTTTTCTGTATGTATGATTCAGGAAATCTGTGTGCACCACAGAACACAAGCACCCCGCATAAAAAAACCACAACAATTTGTATGGCATGATATCACTATGGCTATACCCCTTGGTCAGATCCACTTTGCTCTTTTTGTTCAGAATCAATTATTGTGATATGATCCATTAAATTAATTTATCATAATATCATAGGAGAGCCTGTAAAAAGAGCCACCGAGCTTCCACAGGCGGCGATGACAGATTATGACAATTTGGTCGATTTGTTCTACAAGAGATTGTCGGAGCAGCGTCAGTACAATCAAGTTGGTAATTCAAATATATATCTGCTCATTTGTAATAAGTAGATTCCTACAGCTATTTTCACATACAATTATCAAAACAAGCTGTCGGTAGCTGCATTATCGACTTGTGCTTAAGAAAGTACCTAGTATAACAGTATGCAGATCTTAAGATTACCATGAGAGGGAGCAACTCTTATCACTGAAATGTTTAGATATACTGCTTAAACCAATGACTACTATGTAGATAGACTGTCCTTAATAAAAAAAATGTGAAATAGCCATAAGGAGCGGGGCATAAACAAAATTATGTCCTCACCTTCTCAGCTCTGAAACCTAGGATTTCGTTCCGATTAAGTGGAAATTCAGCCATGTTTGTAATATTTTCGGTCATAGTTAAAAAAATATCTCGTTCTAATTTATTTAAAGGAGATGAAGGAGCAAGACCGTCGTTGGAGTATGCAAAAGGTGGTGCAGCGGTTCCCGGGTTGGAACGAAGTCACAATCGCTAACCTGCACAGCCTCTTTTTGTTGTTCGACAACCAGACCAATGGAATGCTCGGCTTCGAAGATTTGTAAGCACTAAGATGTTTCGATGTTACAACATTAATTTCCTTTGAAAGAGACGCGAAGCATGCTTCGAGGTGAACGTCATTGGTAACTTTCGCACCTACACTTCTCGGGTGGCGTAAATATAAAACAAAAAAAGCCTGCATACTGCTTTCATTGCTTTGTTATCAACACTATTCCCTCACAGGGGTATTAATAGTCTTAGAGCCGGTGATCCGCAGACTTACGGTATAGTAGCAAACTTCATATTAATGCTAGTTATACTAATTCATCTGGCGTAGATCAAATGGTGGTTCACTATTCCCATAGAGGGTTCCTTTAGGCGTGCCGAGAAGTCGAAAAGCATGATAATCGACTTTCAAAAATGTGATCGCAGCATGTCTGCCGGACATTTTGATATTTTCAGTTGCGCAGTACTCGAGAGTTTGGGTGATGAGAGCTCTATGGAGTATCGAAAAGAGAAATTCACAGCATCAGACATCGATAACGACGGCTGGATAACATATGACGAATTCTTATCGGTAAATATTATTGTAAATTTAGTCGAACTTATTACACATGTTATAAGTTACAGTTAAGTCACAAGAAGGCTCAGAGTCGCATAGCGAGCGATGGAAAGAGCTATCGAGCTATCATCGGTGTTTTTCTATGTGATCGGATAAGAAATGAGAAAAATCGTAAAAGAACTAAAATAACGGGTCAGATGGTTGTTATCCGACAAAGCTCAAAGGATCGCAAATATCTGAAAGTGGCAATGGCCAGGGCACATAGTTCGATGGATGTTGGGGTCCCAAGGTGGTCAAAGGACCCCTACCCAGATGGACTGACGACATCAAGACGTTAAGTTGACAGAAGCCTAAGTCCAGCAGTGGACGTCCATTGGCTAATGATGATGATGATGATGAAATTGAAATATTCATGAATTGAAATGTTTGCGTTTCTTAAGAAACACCTCGAATATATTTCTTGCTGTGTCCCAATCAATGTTTTCCCTTGTTTTTAGTATAAAAAATAAGCCCATAGATTAAACTTAATTTCACAGCTGGTCTACAACTTTAGTCCAATGGAGAATGGTCAGTTATCGGGCTTAGCGCATCTTTGCAACGAGGTAGCGGATAACATACAGTTCGTCAGTAATTTGACGGTAGGAGAACAATTAGAGTACGGTTTATTTTAAATCAGTAAAGCCTTATTACCAATATACTATTGATTGTTTCATTTTAATCAAAAAATAATAGTAGGAGAGCTACTAAAACGATGTGACTAACCAGTTATCCACAAATCAAGATTTTTTTAAATTATGTTTTATTATCTATAAGTATATAATAAAATGGTAGAAAAGTCAAAACTGTACATTGAATATTTTTTTAAAAGAATACTTGGGGTGTGATCTACAATCGACAGCGAAGCCGAAAATATATTTATTAGAATTTTCGTCTGTCTGTATGTCCGGGATAAACACAAAAAGTACTGCATGGAAGTACTACAAAATTTGGTACAAATATTATTAAGAAGTCGGGTCAACATTAGGCTACATATTATCACGCTATCACCTACGAGGAACGAGCAGTGAACCTTTATTTCTAACTTACTCCACGCGTACGAAGTCGCGGGCGGCCGCTAGTATTTTTATAAAGATAGTACCGTTCTGACAGGCATCTCGCGTCATCATTCTTTAAATAAAAAATGCTAAAATAATATTTTATTAACCTGCTGCTACAAGGCTACAAATTTAATATATCGTTATTTACAATATGATTAAGCATAAAAAAACCAACCTATTCTGAGGATTGCAGCTATGTTTCCTGTCATTTACGTATATTTCTGAAATAATTAAAGGAATGTTCCATACAAATTTGAGCCTTGTGCGAGCAGGCTATGAATTATTATACCGATGACAACTTTGCCATGGTAATATTATATTATTACCGTGACTTTGCTATCATTTTGTACATACCTGCAACCCTCAGAATAGGTTGTCATGTTTTACGCTTAATCATATGTTAATTACGACGTATTAGAATTGTAGCCTTTTGGTTGCAGGCAAAATTTTTTTTTTTCATTTTCAAAACTTTAAAGTTTGATGATGCAACCTCGACGCGAGTACTTTCTTTATTAACAGATAATAAAAACATAATTTCAAGAAAAAACTATATTTATGTGAATCTGGTTAGTCAGATGGTTCAGTAGCTCCTAGACTAATAAAATGTACTTAGATTGAGCACTTTGTATAGCACCCTGTGATAGCACTCCATTTATGAAAATTAAGCGCTATGGATGGTGGCACCACGCAAGAGGTCTAAGAAATAACTGTCATGTGGTTAATATATGGCTTAGAGATGTGTGCAAGAATTTGCCTAATCTGTGGACTCTGTCTCTCGCACGCAATATGGTTTTAGTCTCTATCTTGTCACTAATTAATTAAATAAAACGAGTTTACATTATGAATACTTTTATTTAAAGATCTACTTTACAATAACCATGGCAAGCCACAGCACCACTGGTGTTTGGTACAAGAGACACGGCAGAGAAAAGCTTTTGATGTCAGAAGTTACCATTGAATATATTTATGGGTAGAATAACTATTTTCTTTTTGTTTGCTCAACTGACTTTTGGGATGATATTGACAAAGACAAACACACAAAATAAACCACATTTAGCAAAGAAATATCTCTATAGAAAAAACTGAACGAAGTTCCATTAGGTATGCGTAGTTTTTCAGTACTTCAGGTCATCTTCACTCAACGAGTCCATGTCACTAAGCTCTGCAAGACTGGGGTCACAGGCCAAGCACCGCGCCCCCACCTCGCGCCAGCACTCCAAGCAATATACAAAGGGACACTTTATTATTGTGCAAGAACGCCAAGCATCATCTTCTATATTCTCTGCATTTGAAAAGAATTAGGTAGGTAAGTACCTATATTAATTTAACTATCAACGCTCTTTGCAATAAAAAAGTTTTTTCTAAAACGTTAGCCAACGAAGCTGAAAACTAAGTATTGTAAAATGTGATATATAAGTATCATCTTCATATTATTTATTTTTTAAGCATTCAAGTAAATATAAAGAAAACGTTACTCAAAAAAATCAACGCTTACCAGCAGACGGGACTCGAACCCGCATCCTTGGCTATCCGGGTGAATGCACTGACCATTATGCTACCGCGGCCCTGATGGCCGCGTCGAAATTTCTCTAGCCTTAGGCTGCAATGCAGCGCCATCTCTTCGCATTGTAGGTAACCCACAATGTCAAATACAAGAATACTTTTACAAGTATTAAACATTTGAAAGAAGAAATAGCAATTATACATATATATATTATTTATTTTTTAAGCATTCAACTGCATAGAGATAGAGATATGTACTTAAATCTAAAGAAAATATTACTAGAAAAATCCACGCGGATCTGGCAGCAGACGGGACTTGAACCCGCATCCTTCGCTATCCGGGCGAATGCACTGACCATCTTTATAGAGGTGAATGCAGGCTTGAGTACCGTCTTTAAAGTCTTAAATTGCAAACTAAGATGATTCTTTGTTTCCTATAGATTGCAATTTAAGACCAAGCTTGCATTCAACTGAAATAAATTATGCATACTGATGCTGAAAATTTAAGTGTAGGTATAAAAGAAAATTATTTTATATCAATTAAATTTTGAGCTTCAATATTGTTTGTTGTGTTTAAGCACCAATTATTATTGCCCTGGTTTTGTTTTACGTTACTAGTAAAAACATAGCAACAAACAAGTAACTAACGTTTTTGGTCGTGTTCTCGCGGCTCTGTCTCTCCACATATGAGGCAGGTCATCCTAGCCGCCGGGAACACTCGCAGCCAACCCAACAGCCGAGGGAACTTTATACGTAAACTCAACAGGTTCTCTCCAGAAAGATAGTGGGCACGCACCGCTTGAATCGCTTTTCTAATAAGATAATCAATCAATCATATTGTCAATCAAACATTATATAAGGTAAACTTTTGCTTAGAAAACAATAATGACTGAAACTTTTTCAGTTCTCTTACAAAACTATGTTGAGTTAAACAAAAGAAATCACACTGGGAAATCTGAATGCACACTAAGTGCTCGTTTTTTTGGAAAGGCAATAATGAGTTAATCACTACGTTTTACAAAACATTACCACTATTGTGCGTATGAACTATTGGGTATGTGGGCGGCATGGGCGAAATTGGAAAAGAAATAAATACGCAAAGACAAAGGAAGCTGGAACGCGGCTGGAAAATTTTGGTTCAGCAGGATCGCAAGTTCTACTGAAAGCTCCGTTAAAGCTTGATTAGATGCATACTATGATATATTGATCGATTATTAGGGTCCATTAGGGTCCACCTTAAAAGCATAATCCTGCGAAAGCTTAACAAAACACGAGTGATAAAAACCTTCGCACAGTTTTCTCCATTTTCATTCGTTTTTTCAGAATGTCATTGTAGAGGTGTAATAACCTTTGTTTTTCTCTGTTCGGATAAAAGAAGCCACACACCAATCTGACAATAGAAAGTGGAGTTTGAAACAGAAAATTTACAAAACAGCGTTTTGAATAACAAATAAATAGCAAGTATAATATGGGGCAAGTATTTAAGGCGTCAGTATTTATTAAGACAACGTAATAGGAGCAATTGGGATCAGAAATCAATTCATGAATGCAGCTCGCTAGCTTCAAGTGGGTACTGACATCAATTCGTGATTGTGATCGTGATCAGGATTAAAATGTCTTGAGCTTGAAGTATATGGTACCTTCTTAATCGTACAGTATAGGGATCAATGTAGAGCAGGAACAATATCCACAAATAACCGCCGTAGATGTTGAGATAAAAGGAAAAGTTAATCACACGAGGATGTGGCAGACACAAGTGGTTGCTGACGTTCTGCTTCGAATGAATCTGTAAGTTGAGACCACCCAATACCGTTCGCACCATGCTCGCTAAAGTTCCGGTGCCTTCAACCTGGAAAATGTGTTTTTTTTTATTACAAACACCAATCAACCTAACCACAAAGTGAGGAACTATTTAGTTTTTTTTGCCTGTACTGTAGTAAGTCTTGTGCTTTGGGATACTAGAGTCAAGGATAGAGTACATATACTGTTCATATATGTATAAATACATTTCTATTTAGAAATACATATAAACATTATGACTAAATGCTCGTATTCATTACACAAACAGTATTGCCCCACCGGGATTCGAACTCGGGATTTCTGAGTAGGGGACACCTTGAAAACCGGTGTACATAACTCTCGAGCCATTGCGAGGTCGTCTTTCATATTCATTTCTCATAATATCTAAGCTAGCCAATAAAATATAAGTAAATTGGAGGCAGTTCAAAAGCCTTTTTCTTATTGAATAAATGGTTCAAGTTAGGGAATTACAAAACCTCGATCTCCAAGTCCCGAGTTCCTGCCGTTGGCAATTCCATCTCCGCGTGCTGTCTGACCACATCCAGGGCCTCGTAGAACAGGCGATCCAACATCACGAACGTGGTCGCTGTCACCACCTCCAGCAGAACTTTTAGGATGTGCGTGACCAGATTGTCTCGTTCTGAGGACTTGTAGCCTAGCGAGTGGACGTCCACGTATCTGCTTCTTTCCATCTACACATAAAAAGCAGCGACCGAGATTTGTGCTTAATCAAATATTTTTATAGTGACACTTTCGAGAAAATATTCACCTTCATGGTTCTTCCATGCTGGAACGGGGGGGAAAAGAAAAACGAGGAAAATCTACACGCTGTTTAACAGACTAAATGATCAATGTTATTTCGGAGAGACTATTGTAGCACGGTAATATTATCTATACAGTATTGTAGACACGCGGTAGGGCTGCCCGACTACAGTATTTTAATTTCATCTACATAATGGAGTTTCTTTCTAATTTTCTGATTGTAAATATTTTATTTTATATGTAAAAAAAATGTTGTTAATGAATTAGGAAGTGTTCAATAAAATACATGTTATTTTTAGGTAATATTTAATAAAAAAAAATATAGATTTGAGACAGAAAAATATTTACGCTTCGACTTTGACTTACAAAAAGCTTTATTATTAAATTAAATAGTATAATAAGTACGCATTCGTATAAAAAGTTTAATTAAAAATACTTTAGGGAAACATTGGCAATTAGCAGAAAAGGGAATATCTGTAACTTGGTTATATATACCTGCAGCTACTTTACAATTGATATGTTTTTTTTATTGGGTGCGTTATTGAAGAGTTCAACCGAGTTCGAGAGTGCAACCAAAAAAAAAACAATTCACACCGTTAGGTCGTCGCTGCGGCGCATTCGCGACTGTTGTGACGCGATGTGCATTGTGCATGCCCACCGGGTGCCGCGGCGCGCGAACTCGAGTGGTGTAGTAGGTATGAAACGCTTTCCGACCGTTTGTATAAAGATAGAATACTGTATAGATATTATTACAATATTGGTACCGTGATTGTAGGCAACGAGCAGAGCTTTGATAAGTTTATACGATATCTACACATATCCTCTTTCGTACCCACCGGTCAGTCCCACCATACTGAGATCTGCAATTATTATAGAAGACATTGATCATTTGAATCACACGAGGCTTTGACGCTATTCGGATAGATTTTTTATTCGGATAGAAATTTCCTAGGGAAGCTAAATTGAATGCGGTTAAACTTTATTCAATTCAATTCAAAATATCTTTATTCAAATAGGAAACATATTTCAACTCTTTTGAATTGTCCATAAAACTTAGTAGGTATGTATATCTTTTGTCAACTAAAGCTTTCGTCCATCATCTGGAAACCAACAGACCTTATAAAGCGAAACAAATAATAAAGAATTTTTTCAACAGGTTAGACTGCTATTCGGATAGATCATACCTTTTTGAGAGGCAAAAGTGCAAATTGATTTCTCCTTCTCCGCTTCCGGTCTATTTTCTTGAATCGTCCTGTTATGTAGACGTTGTCATATTCTATGTTCGTCAGGTATTGGTCGTGGTAGGCGACGGCCGCCGTGAATATCCTCAGGAACAGCAGAGCCACGCACAAGTTCACCGCCGTAATCACAGAATGCATGACTATGTATTTCTCTTCAAATGCGTGCATTACCCTGTCACCTGTTTCCTTTGCATCCTAAATAAGATTTTTGTAATTAATTAACTAGGTACCTATACAAAATACTTCCAAATACAAGTACCCGCAATTTTTTTAGGGTTCCGTAGTCCTGACAAGGAACCCTTATAGTTTTTCATTGCTAGGTAGGAAAATGACTCTATCCCAGCAGATGTTAAGGTGAAGTCCAGACGACCACCGACCATCCTTACCTAGCTGGCCTGCAGGTGTGCTTCTTCACGCCTCTTTTAAAGGACCCCAGATTGTACAATAATCTTTTATGTCTTAGAATAAAATTTGCACAATAAGAACCCGCCGGGAAAGGATTTTTCCGCTTTATTAATACCTAATTTTGTCCATAATCTTTCTTCTGGCAATGAAAACTACGAGATCCCCAAAACAGGGTGGGTATACGCAACGCGTGATAGTTAATTAGACGTACCTAAACTCGTAACCACAAGGCATTCGTTATCGCTACTAAGACAGATCATTACTTCTTCATGCCACCCTTTTCTAAGTAAAAAAACAGGGAACATTGTTTTTTACAAATAACAGTAACATTTATAATTATTTAATTAACTTACTACTTACCTGAACATTATAGAGCTGATGGATAGTTTCAATTTTGTATTGAAGTAAAACTTCTCTGTTGCTGGTAACGATGTTCTTTGCCTTTTTCAAAGCGATGTAACCTTTCCCAAGACCTGGATTAGTCTAAAATAAGACGTAACGTTTTACTAGTTCTTCGGAAATACCGTTTATTTGCAAGAGAAGCATGTGAGCAGTGGCGGTTAAGCAATACAAGTGAGTCTAGAGTTTATATACCTAGTAAGCGAAAAGAATGAGATTAGAGTATTGTAGTTAAATTAAAAGGGAGATGAGATAGAGACACAGATATATAGTATTTTTTCTGTCCATAAGGTATACGATCGTACGGAGTACGGACAAAATGCACATAAATAGTATTGTGTTTCGCGTAAATAAAATGTATCTTCCGAATATTATAAAAACCATTGAGGACGGCTGACCCGGCCGCCATAGTTATGCCGGGTCAGCCGTCCTCAATGGTTTTTATGAGAGGTTTCTCATTGTTGTTTCTACCACCCTAAACGCGGCTGACATTGGTGTCAATTCTGGCGTGATTCGCTAAACTTAAAACTCATTCTGTGTAGAGAATGACAATGATGCACTGTTGTCAAATTTAAGTTTAGCTTTAGAGAATCGTGCCAGAATCGACATTCCATCGGCATAACCATGCCGGCTGGGTCAGCCGTCCTCAATGGTTTTTATGAGAGGTTTCTCATTGTTGTTTCCAATCAACAATGATGTCGATTCTGGCATGATTCTCTAAAGCTGAACTTAAATTTGACAACAGCGCCTCCTTGTCATTCTTTACACAGAATGAGTTTTAAGTTTAGCGAACAAGCCAGAATTAACACCAATGTCAGCCGCGTTTAGGGTGGTAGAGGTTTGAGCTGGAGCTATACTGACGAAACACCCAAACCTCCAGTATTATTATTTACTATTGTTAGTCAATTATGCCAGCATTCTAAAGTGTAGGTATAGTTTTGTTCCAGTGGCTTAGGTTTATAGCCTGCGCAGACGATGGACTTTTGCCCGCCAAAATAGATCGCCTACAACTGCATTGAGTATGCTGCGGATAAAAAGTACCGCGTCAATAAGTCCTCCTAACAACCGAAGACACCGAGAGACCGGACAAGACAAATATTACGCCGCCGGTATCCCCAAAAAAAATAGAACTCATGTGACTCGGCGCAGCAACTCACAGTGAAACTTATGTCAGTGTTGCGCGCTCGATGCGATTAAAAGAGATGGTCCCAGTATTCTCTTTTAAAACGTCTTCCCCTTTTCTTAAATTGCATGTTAATAACAACATAACGTGATCTGAGAATATTTACTTTCATACATAGTGTGCACTTTTCTAAATGCCCGGCAACAAATGTCCGTACCCCTAGTGCGGACAGCCGGTGACAAGTCCTCGATGGAAAGTTTTTTTCCGATTCAGGGAATTTTGTCCTCCGCGGACAAAAGCGCAGGCCATTAGGGTTAATTTAGATTTAACTACATAAAATTAAATCAAAGTTCTGGTATGCTTTTGGTGAAAGTTTTACCTGGTTTGTGGCATCACAAATGTTATAGCCCATCAGATCCTTCAAGTCGCAGATGTGGCACAGCTTCAGCGGTCGACACAGCACCCACGACGACGCAGTACCCACCTCGTCCAAACATTGCCGGTACGTGGAAGTGAACAAATTGGCACAGAATGCAACAGCGCGTTCAACAAGGTCTTCACAGCGTCGTTCCAATTTCATTAAATACAGTTTTTGCAGTAGTTCTTCGTCGCTGACTTTTGGTGTCTTTCTGAATATAATATTTCATTATTATTATCATCAGTCTGTTAATAGTCTCAGTGCTGGAGCACAGGCCTTCCCTACGAATGGAATAGGGATACTGGGCAATGATCCACCACGAGGGCTCATTGCGGATAGGTGGGGCGCTAACGACTGCAGATGCAGTCGGGGGCACAGAAGAGCTCGAGTTATCAAAATTTTGGTAACGCATCCTACATTTGGCAAAAAGCTTGGACCTTAGCAGAAGACCTTGGGCCTCCTGCCTAAAATGTGACCCTGGATTCCTCTGACAGTGTTTCACCTTGCCTGCCGGAACTTTGTGGAATTCCAGGATTTGTTACTCACCGTAAAAATCCATCTTCATCATCATAACACTGTGTAGTATAACGGTAATCGGTGGTGATGGGGAAAAATGGGCAAACTAAAAGCCGAATCTACTTACTTCACTACCTACTCATAATTACCGATACTGTTGGCTCGAAATCTCGTACGAAGATCGTCTACGTTCTTTGTAGTCTTCAATTTCAATTTCTATTGGTAATATAACATCGCGAATTGATCTGTAAGTAAAGGCACTCAGTTTGTTATGATTGCCAGCTATTCACAATGAAACCAGTAGTAAGGTTGTGGCACCAATGATCGTTTTTTTTTCTTTGATCAATGAAAATAAGAGTAGGTAAACCAATCGAGCTATAGACGCTCGGTGTTACCATACTGTTATTTTCTTTGACCACAAAAAAAAGTAGGACTTTGGTGCCACTACCTTAGATAGTTACTTAAAATATGAAGCTAAAATAAATATTTTGCACAAATTACCAACTTTATAGTATCTTTTATTTGGCTTATGTCTGGCCTCAAGCCGAGCACAGCGGTTGTGAACGGCTCTCCCATCACCTCGAACTTGGCGCCGGAGAGGTTCTGCGATAGTTGCGTGCTGCATGCATACACCCTCACTACTTCCTTCGCATTCAAACCCATATTCGTAATAGGACCTTTAAAAACAACTGTCATACATTTTTCATTCTATATTAACTCAACGTCGTTGACGCTTGTGAATTCAGCGTGGGACAGAGCGAGTGGAGCAGTCGCCAACCATAGATGTATTTTTTTTCGTGTCAGGAAAATATATGACCCTTGTCCTGTAAAAACCAGACAATACTCCTGCACCGGTTACCAGAAGTGTGGGCGTTGTTGCGGCACGTAGTTGTATACTGGCCACACTAGGTGATTGTAATTTTTAGGCCCCACCCGATGTGCGGTTCCTTTGAGTAAAAGTTCCATCACAGGAACCGTGCAATGCAGACTGGTGTTCCCTAGTTAGCCCGCTGGCTCCCGAAGGAGCGGAGGCAGGAGCGTAGTTCTACAAGTCCCTCACCTCTCGCCATCGATTGCCATAGATTTGACTACCTCCGTGGCCGAGTGGTTTATACGCCGGGTTTCATGGAGTCGCTGACTCGAGAGGTCCCGGGTTCGAGTCCCGGTGGGGGCAGATGTTTGTGTGATGAATACGAGCATTTGTTCTCCAGTCATGGATGTTTACAGTATATGTATTCTATCCGTTACCCGAGTATCACATAACCCAAGCCTTGCAGTTCTTACTTTGGGGCTAGGTTAATTGGTGTGAGTGTTGGAAATATTTATTTTATTATTTTTTATTATAGATGCTTAGTATCAAAGAGCGCCAAAGAATCAAGTTTAAGAAACTACCTGATATAAGAAAACATAAGAAGTGAATGCGTTGTTCAAAGGGCGCTGAAGGACAATCCCACTCTATTCAAATCATACTCTAACTCAAAAAATATTTATTCAGTCTAGGTTACTGTGACAAGCATTTGTGGAGGTCGAGAAGCTGCGATATCGGTTCGCAAAACTACGGCGGGAGACCTTCTACTAAGAAGAACTAGCAAGAAACTCAGCAAGGGTTGTTTTTTCCTCCCTGTGGCACCTGGCACCATTCATCCAAAGAAGCTTAAGCATATACGGAGCCATCAAGTTGATAAATGACTTCAGAGATGCTTCTGAAGTCATCTTCCATGAAATCATTTAGAATATAGATATATAGTTATGAGTTTTATAGTTAACTTTAGATTTTTAGTATAGGTATAGGCTTATCTAGCTTATCAGCTGAATTTTTCGGAAATGTAAATGTTATTGGTATAAATTACGAAATGTGTGTCGAGACTCGAGTAAGACTATTGGAAGTTTTTAAGCTGCCTTATGGAATAACCTATTAACCTAACCTACAATTGTTTAACAAGTAAATTGAATTGTTGCTTAGACTAGTTACGCTTTTCATCGTACCTATACTTATATCCGGGAAACTTACCAGCGATAACGTAGGTGAGCACGACCACTTTCAGCACGCCTCGACCGGGCTTGCCGCAGTACATGAGAATCGACAGCAAACATATACATTGCAGCTGTACACACATTACATTGCCTATAGCTACGAACAGATAGATGGATTTTTTAAACGCATTTGAGGAGGTTAGGTGGAAATAGCTAAGCAACTTTTGTTATGGCGTAGTGGAAATATTTAGGCAGTCACCTCTCGCAGCCCGTCGTTCCGGGCCATGGCCCTAGGATAAATACTAATCCTTAGGGACATTAAAAGGATTATGATGACGCGTAGGTCATCGTTAATTAATAAAATTAATCAACATCGGTTCAGTTGTATAGAGGCGTAAAAATGCCGTCAACAAGAGTTATTTTAGCATTCATCCAAAGAAGCAGTTATTGCTATGAATATAATATCAGATTTAACGAACTTTGTGCTTAACACAAACCATCGATACGAGTAACAGTCTTTGAGTATATAGATACTCTAAGAGTAAAAGTAGTTTGTTCTACGCTGACCCGGACGAGGATTAAACTTGGATCCTCACCCTTATTTATAAACAAGGAATAAGCTTAGACTAGTTACGCCGTGTTTTGTTCATTGCACTCAAGTACCATTTGTCATTCAATGAACAGAGACCAAACATAGAGTAACTAATCCAAGATTATTCTTTGTTTATTAATAAGCAGTTCAGAGTTGGCGTACAACACCGTGACAAGCGATTTGCAAGCGACATAACTAAGTACTGTACCTACTACCGGTTAGCGTCGAGTTGGTCGTCGATGACCATTACAAAATGTGTCACTGGTCAATCACAAGCATATTAACCGGTACCGACGACCAATACGGTCTGTCTAGAAGCGTGGGGCGGTGAGACGGGGAGGGTCCCACCCTCCCCTGCCGCCGGTTAACTCGAAGCGAACGCGTAATACAGGTCGCGGCACGTAACTCTAGCGCTGAACAAAACGCGGAGGGGATAGCTGCGTATGGGAACGACTGGAGAGCCAATCGGCGCAACGCACGCCCACCCGCACACCTCGTTTCCCCCTAAGACATTTAAATTTTTAACTTTTGCGCAATAGGCATTCATTAGAAACTTTGATTATATACACGCCTAGAGAAAGCAATCCAAATAAACCACGCAATGAAAACGGCACGTTTTTCGTGCAATGTGTGCGCGACTCTAATGTGAGATTGTTTTAAAGCAGTCAATTGTGTGCCTGTTTAGCAGCGAGCATAATAGAGATATTATCTACCATAAGTAGTAGATATTTTTTGGGCCGCTTTCGTGCAGTTAATACGGCATCTAGGCGTGTATATAAATAATCAAAATTTAGAACTTACCTAAAATTAAGCTTATAGATAGAGCCAAGTAAAAGCCAAGATTCCCAGGCAAGGGTATCTTTTTCAGCATGTATTGGTAATACACTTGCCCTAATGCAAAACCTCCTATAAATGGCACTAGCCATTTGAAACGACAGCGTTTATTGCGCGGAGTGCTTCTTGGTGTAAAATTACCACTTATCGAAGAGGTGTATCTGACCCATTCGCTCAACCGCGTCATATTCCTCCAAAACTGTTACAAAAAGACCTTACTACACTGTAATAAATAAATCTTTATTATGCCTTAACAATTTTTCATTAGTTTTAAATGTGTTTAAAATATCAGTTGGACATTGACAATTCTGTCTGAGGTTATTCATAACCTTAATATCATAGAGAAAGTAAACACTTCGTCTTTTCACAAAAGAATTAGGTACCGATGAAACATTGTAATTTGTACAATTTAGAACAAAATGGACGCGACTTTATAGACAGAGGCAGACGCTATCCGACCGCTCTATGAATTAATAATAACTACAGAATACAAATAATACGATGTTTTACGATGCAACGCAGTGTACAGCGAAGAGCGTGCGATAACGAGCGCTTCCGAGAACCCACGACTTTTTGATCATCCATGATCAATCAAAGGTGATTAACGGGCGCAAGTACATGTTGTGACGGAGGCCTGCCTGCATAGAAAGGGCACCACGATATGATAAATAGCTCGTTTTTATCACCCTCAATTGTCGAATTACTATGGAATTTGACAGTTAGGATCGTCGCACACGGGCCACACGCGAAAGCCACAAATGCCGCCACGAGAAGCTAGAAGCGGCTACAAAGGTAGCTGAAGCGCGCGACAGCCACTTGTGGCCGGTGGTAGACACTTGCCGTCGGTGGCTGCTACTATTTTTAACACATGCGTGCAGGATCATTATGGACTCTGATGAAGAACTTTTGATGGTGTGGTGTGACGGCGTTTTGTATCGGTGCATTAGTGGCCGGTGCGGGCGACACTTAGGCGCAATAAACCACGTGATATTCATGTAAGTTGTGCCCTCCTAGCAAGAGCACCGCGATATGATATATAACGCGTTTTATCACGTTCAAATTGTCAAATTACTATGAAGTTTGACAGTTACACGCGATAAAAATGTAAATTGTGTCCCCCTAGCATGAGCACCGCGATATGATATATAACGCGTTTTTATCACGTTCAAATTGTCAAATTACTATGAAGTTTGACAGTTACACGCGATAAAAACGTGTTATAATGTAAATTGTGCCCCCCTAGCATGAGCACCGCCACAGAACATAGAACGCGATATGATATGTAACGTGTTTTTATCACGTTCAAATTGTCAAATTACTATGAAGTTTGACAGTTACAATGCGATAAAAACGTCATATAATGTAAATTGTGACCCCTAGCATGAGCACCGCAATATGATATATAACGCGTTTTTATCACGTTCAAATTGTCAATTAACTATGAAGTTTGACAGTTACACGCGATAAAAATGTGATATAATGTAAATTGTGCCCCTCTAGCATGAGCACCGCGATATATATAACGCGTTTTTATCACGCTCAAATTATCAAATTACTATGAAGTTTGACAGTAACACGTGATAAAAACGTGATATAATGTAAATTGTGCCCCCTAGCATGAGCAAAGCCGCAGAACACAGAACGCGATATGATATGTAACGTGTTTTTATCACGTTCAAATTGTCAAATTACTATGAAGTTTGACAGTTACACGCGATAAAAACGTGTTATAATGTAAATTGTGCCCCCTAGCATGAGCACCACGATATGATATATATCGCGTTTTTATAACGCTCAATTGTCTAATTACTATGGAGTTAGACAGTTAGGCGCGATAAAACACGTGATATAATGTAAATTGTGCCCTCCTAGCATGAGCACCGCGACATGATATATAACGCGTTTTTATCACGCTCCAATTGAGCGTCAAATTACTATAGAGTTTGATAGTTAGACGCGATAATAAACGTGATATAATATGTAAATTGTAGTTCTCATGCTACAGGGACTGGCAATAGTTGGTGAGGTACTAGGTTCGTAGTACTTTAGGGAGATAATAAGTCATCATCATGCCGGCACTTCATTTGGCTATTTGTAAACTGGACAAGTCTGCCCTTATCATGCTTTTTATTGAATGAAAATGACAGGCTGATGTCAACTATACAAAGTAAAGTGCCGGCATTAGTTATAATTTCTGACCATTTTATCAATTCAAATTGTCAAATTACTATGAAGTTTGACAGTTACACGCAATAAAAATGTGATATAATGTAAATTGTGCCCCCCTAGCATGAGCACCACGATATGATATATATCGCGTTTTTATAACGCTCAATTGTCTAATTACTATGGAGTTAGACAGTTAGGCGCGATAAACCACGTGATATAATGTAAATTGTGCCCTCTTAGCATGAGCACCGCGATATGATATATAACGCGTTTTTATCATGCTACCCTTATCATGATTTTTATTGAATGAAAATGACAGGCTGATGTCAACTATACAAAGTAAAGTGCCGGCATTAGTTATAATTTCTGGCCATTTTATCAATTTTTTACATTATTTAAATAAGCTAAGACCTGAAAAAAATACAGCCAGTTTCAAGAACAACGTTACATTTTGTTAAGTACGGGGCATTCGAATCTAGACTTCAATATTTATGGGTGTTATCCTACTAATAATTTAAATGTGAAAGTTTGTGTGTTTGTTATTGAATCACGTAAAAACTACTTAACGTATTCGGGTGAAATTTATCCCGTCGAAATGTTAGGTTCCTGTGAAATTCTCAGACTAAAGCTAACGGGAAAGAAGTCGCGGGCGGCCACTAGTCACACCAATATATAGATCAGCAAATAAAATCACAATTATATATTAAATGAAATTTATTCACCGATCGTAGTTTAGTATAATTAGTCTTATAAAATTCAATACATCTTGTAAATAGAACAACATAAATGACATTTATTGAGAAAAATCAGGTGGCGCAAGCAACAAATAGCATTTTACAATTCTAATTTACAGAAGTACGTCTTTATTACGCAGTCCCCGCTCGTAGCTTCTCCAATTAACACAGAACATTAACAACAATGTTCAAAATCTTTGCTATGCAACAAAATACTTTATTCACAAATCATAAGATCTGATATGCCTTGGCACCTACAACTTTAAGAGATATTTTATGTTATTTTTATATTAGCTTAAATAAAAAAAATCTAGATTAGGAGATTGCAAAATAGACATTTGCAATTGACAAAGTAAACTATTGTTAAATTATTATTATTATTAAAAGTAAATTGTGCACATAACAGAAAATGTGTTTTAACATTTCTTGGTTTTTATGAATCACATTTATATAGAATTTTAAATTTAAATTCTTGATTTTTCCAATAGAAAATTACAAAATTCAGACAATGTAAATTATCCGTAGCTTTAAAATTCTTTTTTGTATTCATGATGATCGTATCTAAAATATTAATTCGAATTATACCTACAGGTAGCAGTTTTGATTCACAGTCTCATATTTAAGTCATAGATATATTATAGTGAATGCAATATATAATTAAATCTAATAAATAAGAATAAGTTACAACAATGAGTATGCTTCGCAGTATAGGAAACCAAAATCATAGAAAACAAAGTTTATATAGCCAATTATAAGCCATTATTGTTCATAATTATCAGCATACAATTTCCCCCCCTTTCTGCGGCATAGGCTTTGCCTATAGACCGATTCAAATATACATATATGGGTGAACGGCCATTATCGTTTTATATAGCAAATTTAGTACAAAGCTACATAATTCAATCATGAATAATATTAGTGTACATTTCGAGAACCTACGTAAGAATTCATCGAAGGATCAAATATCTGTGAACAGTAAGAAATAAATACAAATAATGGATATGCATAATATCGATACTACGCTCAGACTTGCTAGACTTCGTGAACGTAGCACTATAATAAAATTTCTCGTAGCAATAAACATTTCCGTAGCGCTCGTAACAGTTACCTTCTTCATAAATTTAGAATTTGGCCATAATTTGGTCATTAGCCATCCCCAAGAACTATAAACTAGGGGCAAGTCATGATACTACTAGCAAAGAATTGAAAAGACCATTATTTTTAATAATCTTATTTCAGACACAGCTAAGTTTTATTGCTATGCGAGCGTAGGAGCGGGTCGAGCGTGCAAGCGAACGTAGCGAGCGGTTACGCGAGCGCTGTAGGGGGATCCCCGGAGGGTTCAGTGGGGGGGTCCATCGCCATGGGTTCTTCCACCGTTGGCAATTCCAGAATACGGGGCCCGTAGAGAAGCAAGTATGCGCAGTGCCAGTCACCTGGAAAAACGTGTAAATATTACTTTGATTTTACGTTCTACATACTGGCCTGATAGTGGAAGAGAAACACAGAATATGATAGCTGCTATTTTCTTGCTGAGATAGTAAAAGCTCAGCTGCAGCGCCTTATCTCGACGTAAGGGTCAATGAACTCACCGCCGCCGCTCAGCTTGAGCGCCTCATCCTGTGTGACTGGAGTATGAATTGTCATCACACAGCAGCCATGTCTGCCCGCTCGCAACGCATCGCCAGCGAGGCGAGGGTCAATGAACTCACCACCACCGCTCAGCTACAGAACCACATCTTGGTAACGTCACACGCGACGCATCGCCAGTGGGGCGCGGGGTCAGTAAACTTATCATCGCCGTTCAACTGCAGCGCCACGTCCTGGTGACGACACACGCGACGCATCGCCAGCGGGCGCGGGGTCAGTGAACTTACCGCCGCCGCTCAACCAGGCCGCACGGGACCCACGTTTTGTCCGTGTGGTGTCACACGCAACGCAGCGCGGCGCGGCATCACTCTTACCACCACCGCTTCTCACCTGCAACGCCTCGTTCTGGTGACGTCACACGCGACGCATCGCCAGCGGGCGCGGGGTCAGTGAACTCACCGCCGCCGCTTAACCTGGCCGCACGCGAGCCACGTCTTGTCCTGGTGACGTCACACGCAACACATCACCAGCGCGGCGCGGGATCACTCTTACCACCACCCCTTAGCTGCAACGCCTCGTTCTGTTGACGTCACACGCGACGCATCGCCAGCAGGCGCGGGGTCAGTGAACTTACCGCCGGCGCTCAGCCTGGCCGCACGCGACCCACGTCTTGTCCTAGTGACGTCACACGCTACGCAGCGCGGCGCGGGATCACTCTTACCACCACCTCTCAGCTGCAACACCTCGTTCTGGTGACGTCTCACACGACGCATCGCCAGTGCGGCGCGGGGTCAATGGACTCACCACCGCCGCTCAGCTGCAGAGCCGCGTCCTGGTGACGACACATGCGACGTATTGCCGGGTCAATGAACTCACCGCCTCCGCTCAGCTTGAGCACCTCATCCTGTGTGACTGGAGTAACAGTGTCGTCATCACACCGCAGCCACGTCTGTCCGCGCGCGACCCACGCCACGTAGTGACCGGAGGACGAGGATCGCCCGCGATGGGTCAGCACTGCCTGCAGACGGTAATAGCCGCTGTTGTTGCTACCCACATCTGTATTAAACAACAGAAGAAGCATAAGCCTCGTTAATTTTTATAAGGATAAAAGAATGAGTTTTGGACAGTATCTTTTAAACAAAGCTGCCTTACTAAAGACCCCACTATTAAATTTTCGTTTGAAATCGCAATTGCCATATTTTCTATTGGCCTTGCACGGCACGCACCTAATATTTAGTTCTTACGTTTTTTTAATATGCCTATGTTTAATTATTATTACCATGTTATTTTTCTAAATTCATGGTGTGAAAGACAATAAAATGTTTTTCTTTCTTTTCTTTCTATAATCGTGGCGTTATACTGATGTGTATAACGTCAAAGACCTTCCGTCCGTCGTTTCATTTAAAAAAAATGGGTGAAACGATATATCGCGACGGTTGGGGCCGTGCCAAACATTTATGCAATCTCACTGCATAATCCTGGCACTAGCAGATGGATTGGAGGACTAATTGGATGGAGTAGAAGTGTTTAGATATATTCATGTAACATACTTGTCATTATATAAAGTAATACTATCAAGGCATAAGAATTCAATGATCGAATTAGTTTAAATTATTAGTAAAAAGGAATATATTACATACCATTCTCAAACCAATACGGAACTACTGTTTTATTCTTGGTTTCTTTCGTACTGTCACCATGGTTTTTATTTTTTGTTGCCAACGAAGATTCTACCGTCGCATCATCAATTTCCTGTAACAAACTCCTAATATTATTTTCAACTAGAATTGGAGAGACTGTCTGTACATACTATACTCTTTTTACGGAAACGATGTAGCACTTATGAAAACTGTTCTGTGATTGGCCACATTGTATTGATGTTGTTACTCTGACCAATTGACAACCCATTTTCTTTATGATGCGATTTTCCATCCTTAAATTTTGTATATGATTGGTGTTTGGTCAGATAAAGACAGCGCTCCAGCGACTCGTTTCCATGAATATAGTATATAGACTCAGAATATTGTTTTAAGTTATTCTGTTCAGCCGGAAATCCTTACGCCACTGTTTATGGTTTTTTAAATTGTAATACATACAAACTTAACCTCTACCTTGTGTTATTTAGGTATCAAAAACGCATGCACTTTGACAGGCACAGCTAAATAGTATGCAACAATGTAACAGTTATCTTCAAATTGATTTATAATTTAGATCATGGTTAAGGGATCAGGCTTGTACTTATTTACTAGACTTTCTTTAAAGGGGAAATAAAGAGGAATAACTTTTGATTGTTAAAAAAAACTATTTAAGATTTGTTAGTCAGTAATAAAGTTTACCTTAAATTTCGCTCTCATGGGTGCTAATCTTTCTTGCAACTCCGGTGAGCACAACTCGAATACGTCAAGGTCGAGTGGGAATTTGACATCTTTTAATATTTTAGCGTTAATCGACTCTTTTTCCTTGAAATAAAAGCGGACGAATTGCACCGTTAAGTATGCGGGCAAACGGCTGATTTTGCTCTGCAACAAAATGAGTTTAACTTACAAACTTATCTACAAAACAGGTGCTCGAGTATTTATGTATATTTTATTTTTTAAATGAGTACTTACAGTTTTAGTATAAACTGCATCTCTCCCTAATGTTTCTGACATCTTTGTGATCTGTTCTGCCATTTTCTGCAATCAAACAAATGTAGTATCAGCACAGAATAATCTTGGTGTAAACTTGTAGAGAAAGATTTACAACTACAGCTTACAAGAAATTAAAAATAGTCCTTCTGATATTATAATTGTGAAAGTATGTATGTTTGTCACTCAACCACGCAAAAACTACTGATTTAGATGAAGTTTGGTACGCATATAGTTTTTGTCCAGGATTGAGACATAGGGTACTTTTTATCCCGGAAAATGTAAAGTTCCTGTGGGACCTCAAAACCTAATGCTAGGACGAAAAACGAAGTCACGGGCAGCCGCTACTTTATAAATAACATGTCAAAAAAAATAAACAACGAATTCGAATAGTACTAATTCAATACTAAATTGTTAATTGGAAATAAAAAAAAAACTTTTTTTTTTGGAAGTAGCGGCCGCCCGCGACTTCATCTGCGTTAACTTTTTTTTTTTTTAAATAAAAGTAGCCTAAGTTACTCCTTATTACATCAGCTACCAGCTAATAAAAGTCCGGTCAAAATCGGTCCAGCCATTTCAGAGATCAGCCGGGACAAACAGACAGACACACAAAAATTGTAAAAAATGTTATTTTGGTGTATGTCCCGTATACAGGGTGAAATTGAATGTTTCAATGAAACTTCGTGGGATTATTGGGTTACGTATATAGAGTATCTCTGAATTTTTTCGGATTTTTTAAAAATGATTTAAAATAAAATTTCGTTTTTTTTTGTTATATTTTAATCTCCTTTTGGGTACTAAATAATTATTATTTTTAAACACTCATACAAAGTAAAAAACAACTAATTAGCACTACTAAAAAAACGTAAAAACAGAAGACGAGCGGTCGGGAGCAATGACCGCTCCCGCCGTTGAATCGGTTGAATACCTACCTATGCGCGGTGCAAAGCGTAGTGAGCGAGCGCAGTATCAAGTTTATCCACCGCGCGTGCGTATCTTTTAAATTTGGGACAAGAGAAGATTTGCAAATAATGCCATGATTAGTTCTTGTTCTGTGGCCTCAATATAAGAAGTTGGATATGGTGTGTTGTTATTGTAGTGTCACGGTATACTCAGCAGAGCCACAAGGCTTTACGAAAGTAGGTTTGGTGATTGATTGTGTTTACAAAGTGTATACGGGAAGTTTAAGTGAAAAAAATGAATTGGTACATCGGTCTCGTAAGTACTTTTGAATACCGGGTTATAAATTTCACCCAAGTATTGAACTGCAATAAGTATTTCTTTTTGTTTAACATTTGCCTATTTCTAATCATGACAAAATTATTATTAACTTTTAAAGTTTTTCTCCGCTTAAGAGAAGATGACATTTGTGCTTATTATTTCAATAAAGGCATCTAAGACGACTTTATTGTATTGTGTGGAATCAAAGGAGTCAACTGAACTCTGTGTAGAGGTACGTACTCACTCAACGGCTGGCGGGCGCGGTCGGTCGTTGACCCGCCGTGGAATTTTAATGTTTTTCCATTTTTTTGAAGTACTTATTTATTAGTTATTTTTCACTGGATATGTAAGTTTGTTTGTTTAAAATGAATAACTACTCAAAAGGAGGAAATGACATAAAAATACACAAATTATAAATAAAATCATGAAAAAAAATACTTCAAAAAAATCCGAAAAAAATCAGGCACTCTTTTCACGTAACCCAACAATCTCACGAAGTTTCATTAAAACATTCAATTTCACCCTATATATATTCATATGCACGTAGTAAAAAGCGGTTATTTTATTTATATGTATAGATAAAAACAGAGAGAGGGAGTGATTGGAAGAAAATGGAATGAACGTAAATGGGTCATAGTGGGAACGGGAGTTCCGTCCAGGCGCCGGCAGGAACAGGCAGTTGGTATTTAGCAGCAACAGTGTACATAAAAGAGAAACCTAAGTGAGAGACAGTTCCCTATGTAAAGCATGCATTGAGGCAATTAGTCAATTATGTTGCTAACATGTAAAAGTTTGGTCATGATGTTTCATACTCCCTGATCTAAGCCCAGACTGTAAGTACCTGACGTCCTGCAAGACGAAGCAGGACAGCTACAGCAAGGTCCTCTTACACACCAGCTCCACGTCCAGGGTACCGCCGAAGTATTGCTCGATTATGTTGCTATGTGTTAATGATATATCATAGTCACCGATCTAAGGCCGGACTGCAAGTACTTGACATTCTGCGAGATGTAGCAGGACAGCTGCAGGAAGGTCTCCTTGCACACCAGCTCCACGTCCAGGGTACCGCCGAAGTATTTCTCGATTATGTTGCTATGTGTTAAAGTTTGGACATGATATATCATAGTCACCGATCTAAGGCCGGACTGCAAGTACTTGACGTCCTGCGAGATGAAGCAGGACAGCTGCAGGAAAGTCTCCTTGCTACGTGACGGGGGCTCGTCCGCTTCAGAGCACACGAGCTCCACGTCGAGGGTGCCTCCGAAATATTGCTCGATTATGTTGCTCCTGTGTTAAAACGAAACTTTAAAATAGGCTATTTTTTAAGCATGTAAGTGCTATATGTTTAAAATTAATGAATACTAGAAAAAATTTCCACGGGGTCCAGGAAGCAGACGGGACGAATGGGTTACCTTCAATGCGAAGAGATGGAGCTACCTTGCAGCCTAAGAAATACTAGAAGTAATTCGACATTTTCGGTCATTAATGTCGTGGTTGCACACATACGCATACGATGTAGGTAACTTATTCGATATTGGTTCGTGCTAAAGGTACAGTTTCGCCCAACACTCGCTAGCGTATTCTTGCGCTAGTAATCCGCATGTTTAAGTCGAACCTAAAATGCGAAGCTAATTAATTAGCACGTAGTAAAGTCACAGTACCTGTCCGAGGGCGCGGGCGCTGCAGGCAAGCGCGTTTGCAGCGCGCGTACTAGTTCCGCCCAGCACTCGCTAGCGTCCTGTTGCGCTAGTCCCCCGCCCGGGGCCCGCTCGGCGAACCTCGGCGCGGCCTCGTGCAGCGCTCGGAGCAACCTCGCCGCCGCCCCGGCGCACGCCCCGGCCCCGCCCCGCTCCAGCGCGGACATCGTCTCGCTGAGCGCTGACGTCAACTCGCCCGCCGAACCTCCACTAGACGCTAGGCGACATGGTAAATGTCATAAAAATATATATCATTATTATTATTTATTTTAAGTTTGATTTAAATCTCTCTTCTTTGAGTCTCCGTGCCATTTTTTTAGCTCTGTTATTTATTTTAAGTTTGATTTAAATCTCTCTTCTTTGAGTTTCAGCCATTTTTTTAGCTCTGTATGTTCTTTCCGGTTGACCGGTAGAGAATGCAATATTGGCATTAAAAAAAAGAAAAATTAAAAAGTTTAAATAAATAAATAAAATAAATATGGATACACTAACTGCTGTAGAGCTGAAATGATATATCGCAGCACTTGTGTTTATGTATTATGTAACAAATGTCTGTCGAGTACATTTTTAAAACAGTTGGAGCATTGTTCACGGTCTCAGGAAGAGAGTTCCATAATGTTGTCACCCACCCCACCAGACAATATGGTAAAAAAATATTTGTGTATTATAAAAATATGTCTGGTAGACAGGAGACAGACAGACATTTGGGGAATAAAAATGCAACAGCTTTGGTCTTTAATAGTGGAGTTCTACGTGAGTGGCATAAATCTTCTACAATCAAATTTTATATATAGGTACATGTAACAAAAGTAATCAAAAATATTCCAATAAATTATTTAATAAAAAAAAAATATAGTATGTCCAAGTACTATTCCTCTTCTTCAACAACACTAGACTTTTTGTAACTGTATTAGATAAAAAATTAGTAACAAAATTAGAAGGAGATAAATACTTACATTTATCATAATTAAGTAAGGCATTTTTTAATTCAGGCACAGTTTTCAAGCACTGTACTGTTGCATTCATATAGCATGTATTCCCCAAATTTATTAGACCTTCGGGTAGATCCAGCTAAAACATAAGATTAAGTACTGTAGTTTTTTAACACTTTTGTTTTACATTAGGCAAATACATTTTCAAGGATCTAGTTGTATTTCTTGTATAAAGTAGTATATATATATTTGTTTATGAGGGGTTGCCCGCGACTTTATTCCAGTAAACTTTCCTTTTGTTTAAATCCCTTAAAACCTTAAATTTTTTCGAGTTAAAAAGTAAAAGTATCCTATATCCCAATCCAGGTCATAAACTATATGCATACCAAATTTCATTCAAATCAGTTCAGAAGTTTTTTGCATGATTGAGTAACAAACATACAAACTTTCACACTAATAATAGGTATTAGTATGATCATAATCAAATGATGCAAAAGTTAATTCCATATAAAAGAAACTGTAAAAGGAAGTCAGGATATTGTTAAATAGTCATGAAATAAATAAATAACTTACTGCAGTAGCTAGTTCTGACTCATTCATGTCCTCTACAAATCTGGTCTGTTCCACTGGAACAGTTGGTACATCTTCCTCTTTACTTCCCATTACTAGTACCAAAGCATTCTGTAAAATTAATCAAGACTACAATGTCATAATACTAAGCTTCTGCTTTTTGTCTATCAGTCTGTCAACAGAGGGCATCATATTAAATTATGTTTAAACAATACCAGTATCGCATAATTGCATGGTGTTTTATCTGACTGACAACAAATAATACATATAAGGAATAGTAAACATTTCTGGTGGCATGCATGAAATATGTATTTAACTGTGTTTCAGTTTTGCTCAAGGTTACAATGTTATGAATAAGTACATTGTAAACTTACATTAGTCAATTTAAAGTTGCCCCATGAATCATCACGAAGTGTGGCTCCTTTGCACACAACCTTCTGTCTTTCTGGTTGCACTCCAGTTAGAGCAAATATTTGTGCCTTGAACACAACTGGATCGTCATCTGTGTTCACTTCTACACCAGGGTACATCTCCTTGCCCCATTTCACTTTGACTGAGCATAATAACATAAAATTAATATTAACAAACTTTAGTAAAACATTCAGACAGCGCTGGCAGAAATATATGAATATTAAACATCTTTACTATAGAATATTCATTTAAGAATGGTTCAAATATATTAATTATGTAGGTACAGTTTTATTGTACAACAAATAGGATCACAATTCTCAATTTTTCAAGGACTAATGCAATGCTATTTCTAAAAGTCATTGAATGTTTTTGTTTATTTATTAAGTATTTATTTTCTCACTATGAAAAATATCACTTTAAGCAGTAAAATGTATGCAAATACATGTTATTTTTATAATTCAAAAGTTGCCGATAACAAATTTTAACCTCAATTTTTTTTAAATCAACTTACATTGTTTGATGAAAAACCTATTAAACAAACTTACCCGAAACTTTAGGCATTGTTGTTATATATCTTTAATTATTCACACTTCTGTAGAAAGATTTAAAAACTCATTCGTTTAGCGAGAAACTGAAAGTCACGATTCGCATCCGTGGATTAATGACATTGACATCAAACGTCAGATTTGTTCTATGGATTTATTTTGTATTGAAAAGGCAAAGGATTCAATTATACAACGAAGCTTTCATGATATTTTTATACAAAGATGATAGAAAGAGGGTTAAATACCAATAGAGTAAGGTTGCTTTCCAATTACAGCATTATTGCGCATTATGCGGCATAATGCTTACGTTGAGTGTTCCAACTACAGCAACGCTTCGCACAATTGAGTAGGGATGGCGATCTAAGATCGATTAATCGAAGAATCGATTTTTTGAGCCAAAAAGATCATTTTTTTTAATCGATATGTAATACAGAATCGAGTCACTGAATCGATATTTCACCCTTGAAAATCGACATTCGATTTTTTTTTATTTGGTATAAACCAAAAAAGTATTTACAATTATTTGAATGTACCCATTATAAGAGTGCTGCCGGTAAAAGGGTTAATTATAAAGAAAATCGCGAAATGGCTATATATTTGGATTCCTTCTCCCCTTATTAATAAAAAAAGTTACGTTTGTTTGTAATCTTTGAATAAAAATATTTTTTATCATCGTATCACCTGATTTTACTGATAAGAGATCGTTAAATTGTAATATGTATCTTGTTTTTAATAAAATAGACTTATATTACATTATAAACAAAAACTTAAAAAAAATAGATTTTTCAGATATCGATCTTATTGGCCTCGATTTTTTTGTGGATCGATTCATTAGGTCACGATTTGAATCGATTTAAAGATCGATCTTTTTCGGAAAGAATCGCCATCCCTACAATTGAGCACTCTCAAAAGTGATGCTTTCGTGTGATGCGTGCAATGCACAGACTAGTTAGAGATACTATGGTACCAACTTAGAGAAAGAAAATTAACAAGTGTTTTTTCTTTAAGTTGGCATTGATCGAAATGTTTTATTTATATGTTATCGTTAGTAATATTATTTATTGTTGAAAAATTTTTTAAAAAATAGTTTTTTTAAATAATCAAAGTTCATTCAAACTGTTAAAAAATAAATATAAGTATGGATGAAGGTACAAACATTGACTTTTTTTTCAACACTGAACTTAGCGCACTCTGCTGGTGCATTTGAAAACTAATTCACGTTCCAATTAAGCATCAGCATAATTGGACATTGTGCGGCACTGAGTCGCATTATGCTCTGTAATTGGAAAGCATACTAAGAGCCCAAGACTGTCAGACCTTACAATGCGATTCAACTAAGAATAGGACCGACTGGGCGCCATATTGTGATGTCATAGCTGTCAATTCAACCCGGTTAGGTAGAGCGAGCAAAAATGTTTTTCTTTAATAAAACTTATTTACCAAGATTAAATGAGAAAAAATATTAGATTTTTAAATAACATTTTTTTACTAATATAGAGAAATAAAAACATCATTTTTAATAATATTTATTAATAAAGGCAGAGCGACTAATCAGAATGTAGCTCTTTAATTCCGCTCATCTCTGCACTACCGTCGGAGTAGTCATCATAATCGTCATAATCATCACTGCTGCTTTCGGCTATAAAATAAAATATCGATTATTGTAGGTTTTAAAACGACAACTTTATTTAAAATAAAAACGGTTTTTTAATATTTGTATTTATAATAAAACTAAAGTTCTTAATTCCCTTTTCCAGTACTCATTTTCTATGCGTTCACATGTTTATTTCCTTCTTCTGTTAACAAATGTTTGATTTTTATTCTAAGATTAGCTCAGTGCTAAAAAAAAGTTCTAAGAGTTTTTTGCAAACCGTACTTTTCTAGCGGCATTTGACAGATGGAGGTCATTAGCTTTCCTATTCTTAGTTGAATCGCATAGTACTTATTTTCTTACGGTCAAAATATGGATAATCCATTGTACTCACTAACTTGTGCTGTGGGCATAGAGCAATACGGCCGACTCGGGAAGGCTGTGGGCAAAATTAGTTATTATTTTGTTTTCGACGATAAAAGAGTATGGCAATAAAAACAGCTGGCAAAATGTGGTTGGCAGTTGGCAGTGTGAATTTCTAATTGTTTACAATTCTCTGTACAACATATGTACGTAGGAATCGGTTCACCAGACAGTAAGTTAGGCAAAGGCGTACACCTACTTAAAATTTTTACGTGCCTGTGCCACCTAATACCTAAAATTTGGCTCGCAACACAAGTTAGCGAGCATGTAAAAGTTCATTGCACACACTTATAGGTACTTCTCGATCATCCATATTTGCCCATGAGAAAATAAGCAAGGTCTGACAGTCTTGGGTTCACTAAAAAATACCAAGTAAGCGGTACGCGTAAAATATTTCAGTAAAAAACTACGACGTAACTAATCAATATTAAAATATAAATTATACATTCGGTAACCCAACTTCACATTTACTTCATTGTCATATGATGAATCAAATGGGTATGGTCTACAACTACACCTTTTGTAGAACTTGAAACAATAATTTCAACTAAGCCACTGCTACCACTACCACCAAGGAAGTTATAGACCTGTAGGTATATAACTTCCTTCCTCTAACCAAGGATATTATATACCTGTAGTATATGTTTACTTCCTTAAATACCACCAATAACTTATTGTTGTTTTAGGGGACATACGAGCAGATTGCTCACCTAATGGCAAATGATCATCGTCGTCCAAGACATCAGCAACATCAGAAAATCACAAATAGGATACCGGCCTTTAAAAAGGGTGTTTAAGCCAATAAACCCCAAATGCATGTTACTTACTTATTTTAAATATAATAGATAATGTGAAAGTGTTGTTGTCAACGGTCACTAGATGGCGCCATCATTTTGCATAGTGTGACGTCTGAATAGCGATGTTGAGATTTTTACTTTGGATGACTTTAACGAGCGGTTGTGGAAGGAGGGTCCACCCATCCCAAACTACTTCACATACCGACGAGACGAGCTCACACAAAACGGCAAGCCCTTCAGAGGAACTGCGGCGCTCGTCCGGAGAGATATCATCCACGAAGAACTGCCATGGGCCCAGTTCCTCACAACGAGAACCACAGGGGTGCGCATCAAGACTGGCGCAAACGAAATCAACATTTACGCCGCGTACAAGCCTCCAAAGGACACAGTCCACCCAGCTGACTTCGACGAGATCTTTAATAGAAACACGACGAACACTGGCGATTTCAATAGTAAACATCCATCATGGGGCTCACGAACCACCAACACCTCCGGCCGCAGGCTCCTACAAGTACTGGAAAACCGAAACGCAGAGGCAACGGGCCCTCACGACGCCACCCACATTCCAGCCAACGACCAATAGCAACCGGACATACTGGACATCGTTCTTCACAAAGACATTACAACACCCCTAAGCGTCGACGTCCTCTACTCAACCGACACTCAACACCTGCCTATTCTAATAACGACCAACCTAGATCCAGAAGCAGTATCACCACGCCCGCCCAAAAACAAAATAGACTGGGCGGCTTACAAAACAGAGCTGGAAGGCTACAAAATAGCACACTCCCTCCAGACCCAGGAAGGCATCGACAGCAATGTCAAGGACCTGACCAAGAGCATGAAGGTGGCACTGGAGCGCCACTCCACCCTGGTCAACAACAAAACAAGAGACCCACTACCACCCAGCCTCCATGCAAAAATTACGCAAAAAAAGAGGTTAAAAAAACTATGGGCCCTACACCGATGCCCTAGGATCAAGTCTGAACTAAATCGGGCGACGGCGGACGTTGCAGCCTCTATCCAAAGATGGAGAGGAGATGCCTGGGAGGTCACCATCGCGAAGGCCTCTGACTCCCGGACCCTACTCACCAAACTCCTGAGGGGCATGACCAACAAAAAAGCCACCATCAGCCCCCTAATCGATACACAGGGCAGACGAAGATACGCTGCCCTAGACCGGGCCAATATATTCGCAGACCACCTCGAAACCCAATTTTCACCACATCCGGCCGCCCCTGAATCTGCCGCCCACCACGAAGAAGTGAAAATAAAAGTAGAAAACATACTACAGACACCCGCGCCCCAATTGCCAGGAGACATATTTATTTCCCCTTCTGAGGTGCGAAAAACAGCCATCCGACTAAACAGAAGGAAAGCCCCAGGTCCGGATGGACTGCCCCCGGCTGCCCTTGCAGAACTTCCAAGAAGATGCATGGCCGCATGGGCCCAAATTCTAAACGCTGCCCTAAGAACCAAACACTTTCCCACGCCCTGGAGAAAGGGAAAGGTAATTTTAATCCCTAAACCGGGCAAAGACAGGAGGCGACCCGAGAACCATCGCCCTATCACACTGCTCGACCACTCCGCCAAATTATTCGAGAGGCTACTCCTACGAAGACTACAACCCCAATTCAAGCCACGCGACGAACAGTTTGGATTCCGCGGCGGCCACTTGACCACCCTCCAACTGTGCCGCCTACTACACCACCTAACAGAGGCCAAAAACAAGGGACACTGTACGGTGGCAGTGTTCCTTGACATTGAGAAAGCTTTCGACCGGGTCTGGCACCCCGGTCTCATATACAAGCTGAAACAAGAAGAAATCCATCCGGCGATGATTCACCTAATTTCCTCATACCTCACAAACCGCTCTTTTTACGTGTCGGTCGAGAGTACAGGAGGCCTACTCTATTTCAACGAAAAACGAAATTTCGATCGAAATTTCGCACGTTCCCTACTCTGTTTCTATTTAATTTCGAAAATTCGTTCGTCCCAAAATAGTTTGACCTTTAAATTCTCTAAGCCTACTCTAATTCACAAAACTTTTGAACTAAAAGTTGAATTTGACAGATAATTGTTCGAAATTTTAACCTCAAATTGACGAAATGAAAAGTGTTACCTTTTCATTTTCATTTTGAGATTTTTGTTTAAATTAAACCTAAAATTACTACTAGAGTATTTTTAATTAAGGCTGCTTAGCGTGAGAAACATTTTTTAGTAAGAAAGATTTACAAATAAATCTAACTTTTGATTATTATTGTATTGTCAATACTTCAAAGTGTTACACGACAAATT